GACTATAGACTAGACTATAGACTAGACTATAGACTAGACTATAGACTAGACTATAGACTAGACTATAGACTAGACTATAGACTAGACTATAGACTAGACTATAGACTAGACTATAGACTACTATAGACTAGACTATAGACTAGACTATAGACTAGACTATAGACTAGACTATAGACTAGACTATAGACTAGACATAGACTAGACTATAGACTAGACTATAGACTAGACTATAGACTAGACTATAGACTAGACTATAGACTAGACTATAGACTAGACTATAGACTAGACTATAGACTAGACTATAGACTAGACTATGCCGTTTTGACCGAAGTTCACTCTATGGTCAATATTATATTTTACATTGAACCTGAAAATCGCATTATCCCCTACATGAAGTTTAATTATTGAATTAATTAACAACATGCGAGAATAGTGAAAAGCGTGTTTTCTTAATTGTCACATTTTAATCTCAATTATAGACTAGACTATAGACTAGACTATAGACTAGACTATAGACTAGACTATAGACTAGACTATAGACTAGACTATAGACTAGACTATAGACTAGACTATAGACTAGACTATAGACTAGACTATAGACTAGACTATAGACTAGACTATAGACTAGACTATAGACTAGACTAATAGACTAGACTATAGACTAGACTATAGACTAGACTATAGACCTAGACTATAGACTAGACTATAGACTAGACTATAGACTAGACTATAGACTAGACTATAGACTAGACCTATAGACTAGACTATAGACTAGACTATAGACTAGACTATAGAACTAGACATAGACTAGACTATAGACTACTATAGACTAGACTATAGACTAGACTATAGACTAGACCTATAGACTAGAGACTATAGACTAGACTATAGACTAGACTATAGACTAGACTATAGACTAGACTATAGACTAGACTATAGACTAGACTATAGACTAGACCTATAGACTAGACTATAGACTAGACTATAGAACTACTAGACTAGACTATAGACTAGACTATAGACTAGACTATAGACTAGACTATAGACTAGACTATAGACTAGACTATAGACTAGACTATAGACTAGACTTAGACTAGACTATAGACTAGACTATAGACTAGACTATAGCTAGACTAGACTAGACTATAGACTAGACTATAGACTAGACTATAGACACTAGACTATAGCTAGACTATAGACTAGACTATAGACTAGACTATAGACTAGACTATAGACTAGACTATAGACTAGACTAGACTACTATAGACTAGACTATAGACTAGACTATAGACTAGACTATAGACTAGACTATAGACTAGCTAGACTATAGACTAGCAACTATAGACTAGACTATAGACTAGACTATAGACTAGACTATAGACTAGACTATAGACTAGACTATAGACTAGACTATAGACTAGACTGTAAGCACTAGACTAAGACTAGACTATAGACTAGGACTATAGACTAGACTAAGACTACTTAGACTAGACTATAGACTAGACTCTAGACTAGACTATAGACTAGACTATAGACTAGACTATAGACTAGACTATAGACTAGACGATAGACTAGACTATAGACTAGACTATAGACTAGACTATAGACTAGACTATAGACTAGACTATAGACTAGACTATACAGACTAGACTAGACTATAGACTAGACTAGGACTATAGACTAGACTATAGACTAGACTATAGACTAGACTATAGACTAGACTAGACTAGACTATAGACTAGACTATAGCTAGACTATAGACTAGACTATAGACCTAGACTATAGACTAAGACTATAGACTAGACTATAGACGAGACTATAGACTAGACTATAACTAACTATAGACTAGACTATAGACTAGACTATAGACTAGACTATAGACTAGACTATATGACTAGACTAATAGGACTAGACTATAGACTAGACTATAGACTAGACTATAGACTAGACTATAGACTAGACTATAGACTAGACTATAGACTAGACTATAGACTAGACTATAGACTAGACTATAGACTAGACTATAGACTAGACTATAGACTAGACTATAGACTAGACTATAGACTAGACTATAAGACCTATGACTAGATAGACTAGCCTATAGACTAGACTATAGACTAGACTCTAGACTAGCCTTATAGACAGCCTTTAGACTAGCCTATTAGACTAGCCTATAGACTAAACTATAGACTAGTCTATTAGACTAGTACTATAGACTAGACTATAGGACTAGACTATAGACTAGACTATAGACTAGACTATCGACTAGACTATAGCTAGACTATAGGACTAGATATAGGACTAGGACTATAGACTAGACTATAGACTAGACTATAGACTAGACTATAGACTAGACTATAGACTAGACTATAGACTAGACTATAGACTAGCTATTAGACTAGACTAGACAGACTATAGACTAGACTTATAGACTAGGACTATAGACTCGGACTATCGACTAGACTAATAGACTTAGACCTTAGACTAGGACTATAGACTAGGACTATTAGACCTAGACTATAGGACTTAGGACTATAGGACTAGACTATAGACTAGACTATAGATAGACTATAGCCTAAGACTATAGACTAGACTATAGACTAGACTATAGACTAGACTACTAGACTAGACTATAGGACTTAGACTATAGACTAGACTCTAGACTAGACTATAGACTAGACTATAGGACTAGACTATAGACTAGGACTATAGACTAGACTATTAGACTAGACTATAGACTAGACTATAGACTAGACTATAGGACTAGGACTATAGACTAGACTATAGACTTAGACTATAGACTAGACTATAGACTAGACTATAGACTAGACTATAGACTAGACTATAGACTAGACTATAGACTAGACTATAGACTAGACTATAGACTAGACTATAGACTAGACTATAGCTAGACTATAGACTAGACTATAGACTAGACTGTAGACTAGACTATAGACTAGACTATAGACTAGACTGTAGACTAGACTATAGACTAGACTATAGACTAGACTATAGACTAGACTATAGACTAGACTGTAGACTAGACTATAGACTAGACTATAGACTAGACTATAGACTAGACTATAGACTAGACTATGACTAGACTATAGACTAGACTATAGACTAGACTATGCCGTTTTTGACCGAAGTTCACTCTATGGTCAATATTATATTTTACATTGAACCTGAAAATCGCATTATGATCCCCTACATGAAGTTTAATTATTGAATTAATTAACAACATGCGAGAATAGTGAAAAGCGTGTTTTCTTAATTGTCACATTTTAATCTCAATTATAGACTAGACTATAGGACTAGGACTAACTAGACTATAGACTAGACTATAGACTAGACTATAGACTAGACTATAGACTAGACTATAGACTAGACTATAGACTAGACTATGCCGTTTTGACCGAAGTTCACTCTATGGTCAATATTATATTTTACATTAAACCTGATAATCGCATTATGATCCCCTACATGAAGTTTAATTTTTGAATTAATTAACAACATGCGAGAATAGTGAAAAGCGTGTTTTCTTAATTGTCACATTTTAATCTCAATTATACAGTAGTAACAACAGTTTTTATTTCACAATAAAATACTCAAGTTAATTTAAATCAGACTGGGGTATTTATAAAAATCATATATATAAGTGCACAGTGTAGCAATCCCGACGTTATCATGCGTATACTTACAATTAAAAAAAAGTATTACATAAATTACAGACTTGTTTGCCCATCGCTGTTAAAGTTCATAAGTTTTGTATGTTAGAAACACATACATTCTTAGTATAACTAATTGACATTAAAAAAATCTCATAAAACAGTTTAATGCTACAATAGTAATTCTCACAATATCCTCGATCACACACACATACATACGTATTTATATATGTATGTATATAGAAGTGTCAACATATTTTTTGAGTTAAACTCGTGCCACTTAATTTTGTTGCAACATTTAGCACATAAATGCTGTGTTTGGTTGACTACCATTTCCCACATTCGCAGACGAACACATGCCACAGACGTAATCATACAAAATACACAATGAATATTTAAGGAAAAGAAAATATTAACACGTTAAATGTTGACAAAACTAATACCCAAAGGTACGTTTTGCTATTTGTTAAATATCATACAGAAACATATGAATCTACTCAGTAATACATTTATGTACATACATACATGTGCTATACTTACATATTTGTAAAACAGTAGTTAGACGTGACATTAGCAAAAAGTTTAAAGATGATGGTAATTAAATAGTTTTTTATTTTGTGGTAAAAACCCAAAACTTTGCAAACTACCCGTGCTTAAGTTTTCTTTTATATATAATGAATGCAGTAGTAACATTTCCCTGCCGCAGCTCTAAGAATATATTTTGTAACGAAAAAGAAAAACATTACTGAATGGAATAAAGTGAAAATAAAAATACTAATAGAAGAAATGAAAACTACTTGAAACGTGTTAAAAATACTTTCAACACAAATAATTTTCACACAAAAGAACAGACGCATAACGTATAAATACTCATGCTATTTGCAATTGACGCAGACATTTGTGGGAATTGAAAAGTTTAGATACGAACAAGAGTGTTATATTCGTGTTTGGGGCCAAAACTGGAGTTACCTCTTTGGAGCTGAACTGGTTCCTAGATGCTGGCAGGCAAGTTGTCTCCGGCGGTTTTTGTTTGTTGCGGCAGGTCAGGGCCAAACGTATCGCTGCATACACACACACAGACTTCAATAAAAACAACCCTTATTTTTAGTGTTTTGGTTTTTCTTTTATTTATTTTAATTTCAGCTTTAATTTGGTTTTAATATGGTTTTTTTTTTGTTTGTTTGTTCTGAACTATGGTTATTTTTATTTCACTTCTTTTTTTTTATTAACTTTTAAAATTTATTTAATTTGTGTGCCTCTTAAGTTTACAGCAGCCAAAAAAGTAATGAATGTGTCAAGCTCTTTTTTTTTATTGAGCAACGCAAACTCACCACACTGAAGTGGGGAGTTGCCATACAGTATTTTAATTGGGGGGATTTTACACGAAGGACAGATGTAGTGTATGAGTACTAGATAGACACAAACATACCGCCCACCTTGCAACGGCAGTGCAAAATACATTATTATAATATAAAATAAGATTAAGATAAATTTACAATAGTTTCATTTCTTTTATAAAGAGCTACAAAATTAAAGCATTTTTTTTAATTCATTACTTTTAATTATATACAAAGAAAGAGAAAAAAAAAAAACTACTTTATAGATACATATGGTAAATTATGATATCAATTCGAATGATTAATATAAAAAAAAAATAAATGAGATACATTTTGTTTAGCTGAATGCAATTCAATATATACATTAACATAAATGTTTATCATAGCAAAATATAAAAACATAAGTAATACTTAAACGCCTTTTAAGGGCAACAAATTATAGCAAAATATATGCTTTAAGTCCTTTTGACACCTTCACCAAAATACGCTACGCCGAAAATTGTGTTCTGTGCATATAATTGTCCTTGACGTCTAGTTGCAGGTCCAATCAGGACTTTACTCATGACATCAGCTCCTAGAATCAGCATATAAGGGCTACTGATATTCCAATGAACGTCGGCGTTGGCGCGATCTACAGCTATTGGTCGTGGATATCTATCTGGTCTTTCTAAGTTAACAATAGGGCTTAGGCCATAGCACTTGCTATCTACAACGCATTCAACAGATATGCGCCGTTTCTCCTCGCGACTGTGGTATACTGTGATGGTAACGCGTCCCTGAAAAACTCGAAATCCCAACTCATTGGCTTCACTTTTCAAAATGGAGGACCTGGCTGCAGTCGGATCAATGAGAGCTTTGATAAAAACGTCTATAGGATTACGGGTAACCACGCGTACCGTCGCTGTCATGGGAAACCAAATTCGACCTTCTGGCAAAGGGTGCAGCAACGTATTGTGGTCCTGCATACAGCGACGGCACCGGTCTATACTTTTACATTCTGCACGACTATGCGACTGGGCCAAGCAGTTGTAGCATAGTAAATACTGGGCCACGACTCGAAGCTTAAGCTCCACGGGCATCACAATGAATCGAGAGCATTGGCGGATGGCGTGAGGTCTGTTACAAAGTGGGCAACAAAAATCTGTATTGAAATCCATATCTTGACCTGGAAGTTTAATTGAGCAACGTTATTATGGAAAAGGTGATAATGAATTATTAATCAGTGCAATTAGGGAGTAAAACTAATTTGTGTATCGGTCGAGTGATGATGCCATTTTGAGTTTTAAGATCAGCCACTCGAACTTTACCGTCTGAACCATGATAAACTTTTACTATACGACCTAAGCGCCATTCAGTTGGACAACAAGGTTCACTTTTAAGAACAACGAGGTCATTTTCTTTCAGGTCTATTTGGGGACACTTCCATTTGTTACGTTTATGCAACTCCTTAAGGTACTCTTCTTTCCAGCGGTGACATATTTCTTGCTGCAATGCTTTGATTTTGCGCCAACGATTTACAATACTATTTGCCGAGCTAAGTTCTTCGGGTTCAGCTGGAGTAAGAATAGCAGAGCCTATTAGAAAATGACCTGGAGTGAGAGAGGACAAATCATCGACGCTGTTAGACATAGGGCCAAGAGGACGCGAATTGAGACACGCTTCTATCTTTGCCAAAAGTGTCGAAAACTCTTCAAACGTATATTTCATTTGTCCAGCCGTCTTTTTAAAGTGCATTTTTAGACTTTTGACCCCTGCCTCCCACAGTCCTCCCATATGAGGAGCTGCTGCAGGAATAAAGTGCCACTCAAGATGTTGATGACCATATTTTTCTACTGCCGAATCACGTAATTCTTTTATATGTTTTTCGAAGTTATTTTCAAGTTCTCTTGCAGCGCCAACAAAATTTCTTCCATTATCAGAGAAAATGCGACTAGGGCAACCACGACGAGCAACAAATCGAGCCAAAGCTGCTAGAAATGCAGGAGTGGACAAATCGCTAACGGCCTCAATGTGAATCGCCTTAGTAGAGAAACAAACAAATAGACACACGTAGCCTTTAGTGATACGGCAATATCGACCAGTGAAACTTTTGATTTCAAATGGGCCGGCAAAATCAACACCTGTGTTAGTAAAAGGGCGACTTAAAGTAGTTCTTTCTTCAGGTAGCACTGCCATGATCTGATTTTGAAGCTTTTTTCTATGTATAACGCAGATTTTACAGTTGTGGATGACCGTTTTTATTAGATTTTTAGCCTTTATAATCCAACACTCCTGACGTACGACATTTAGGACTAAACGAGGGCCTCCATGTAAGACCATATTGTGGACAAACTCAACGTAAAGTCGTGCTAATCTACTAGTATATGCAAGTATTACGGGATGTCGTTCATTGTATGACAAACATTTTGTAGAGCCAAGACGACCATTAGCACGAATAATACCATTTTTGTCTAAGAAAGGCGTAAGCGTTAATAAAGGACTACGAGAGTCAATTTTCTTTTTCGATGACAGACAACTAAACTCATTAGAAAAGTGCGACTGTTGAGAGAGAAAAAATAGCCGATTTCGTACAAATACAAGTTCTTGAGCCGAAATTCTAACAGTTTCGTAATTACAGCTTTTACGTCTGCTTTTGCTCGCAAGATTAAAAAATCTAAATATATAAGCAATAACATGATATGCTCTGGGCAAACTTGAGAAACGGTCCAGTATATCTTCTCGTTCAGCGGATCTAGCAATATTAACTTGGACTTGTTTCGATTCTTCTACTGTTTCGAATTCTAATGGACCTTCGGGCCACGACGATTTGTTTAATCTGAGCCAATCAGGACCATGCCACCAAAGTTTGTTTTCTCTTAAATCCGAAGGTATCAGCCCCCGGGTTGCTAGATCGGCAGGATTGTGATTAGAAGCTACGTGAAACCAATTTTTGTTTCCTACTTTTTCTAATATTGTTGCTACCCTATTTGCCACAAAGGTTTTCCAATTACATGGCGGTTTTCGTAACCAAGCAAGAACTATTGTCGAATCGGACCACAAATATAAGTTATACGTATGCAATTTGAAATTGGGGATTACGCTGTTTACTAAATTGGCTAAAAGAACTGCGCCACACAACTCTAAACGCGGCAAAGATGGCCTTTTAACTGGAGCCACTTTTGTTTTGCCAATTAGTAGATTTACATAAACTTTATCACCATTCACAATACGTATATATAGTGTAGCTGCGTAAGCTAACTCAGAAGAGTCACAAAAGCCATGAAATTCAATATAAGAACTAGGCGTATATTGAACCCAACGATCAAGTTTAATTGTATCAATCTCATTATAATTAGAAATGAATGTCTTCCATTTTTGCAGAGCCACAGGTTTTATATGTTCGTCCCAGTCTATTTTATCAAGCCACATTTGCTGCATCAAAATCTTTGCTGTTATAATCACTGGGGCCAACCAACCTGCTGGATCAAATAGCCTTGCTATAATTGAGAGTACTTCCCTTTTTGTATAAGCTGTTTTGAACTTAATCTTCTCAGTTGTAAAATAAAAGTAATCTTCTGCCGCATTCCAACGGACACCGAGTGTTTTAGCATTACTTTTATCATCGAGCGACAAAAAAGAAGAGTTAAGAAGATGCTCTTGGGGCAAATTTTTTAAAATTTGTTTAGAGTTTGAGGCCCATTTTCTCAACTCAAACCCAGCTGTACCCAATATACCAATTAATTGGTCTCGTGCCTCCAAAGCATCAGGGATCGAATGAGCTCCAACAAGAGCATCATCAACATACATTGACTCGCGAAGAATTCTAGAGCCTAGCGGAAAACATCGTTCTTCATCGTCAGCTAACTGTAAAAGCGTTCTTAGGGCCAAAAATGGGGCACAATTAACGCCAAAAGTGACGGTGTTCAATTGATAATCTTCGATTTTATTTTCCCCAGAACTACGAAAAACTATCTTCTGATACTGTCTATGTTCAGATTTAAGTAAAATTTGTCGATACATTTTAGATATATCTGCATTGAAGACAAACTGAAAGAAACGCCATTTTAGAATTAGGGCTACTAAATCAGCTTGTAATATAGGGCCTACAAACAGCAAATCGTTAAGACTGTTACCATTAGAAGAAGCACTTGAAGCGTTAAAAACAATTCTTAACTTTGTAGTGGTACTGTCAGGCTTAAAAACTCCATGATGAGGTAAGTAATAACTTGAGCTACTTTCAGAATTTGTAATTTTTTCCATATGTCCCAAAGCTATGTATTCTTTTAGGACCTCATCATATTGAGCCTTAAATTCAGGATTTCGCATTAAAACCTTTTCATTTCTTAAATATTGACTAAGAGCAATATGACGATTTGGGCCAAGTGACGAAAAAGTATCTTTAAAGGGCAAACATACTATATATCTTCCTTCAGAATTTCTTGTGGTAGTAGAACGATAGATCTCTTCACATTTTTTATCCTCTTCTGATAAAATCTTTCTACGAGAAACTTCTTCTAACTCCCAAAACTTTGTTAACTGATCGTCAATGGAAACTTTTGTCATATAATTGGTTATTGAAAAACGTGGGGAATCATTACTTGGAGTTGGGCCTGTGACAATCCAGCCAAAAATTGTCTCTTGGGCCACTAAAGACTCAAAAATTCCATGTTGAACTCCATCACGAAGAATTAGGGGATACAAATCTCCTCCTAACAATAAGTCTATTTCGCTACTTTCATAAAACTTAGGGTCAGCATAATTCAGATTGGGCAAATCTGTATTCTTTTGTGGCTTAAATGAATGTGTAGGTACATTCCCTGTTACACGAGGAACTACTAAAGCCTGAATATTTAGAGATACATTATGATCAAACAGAGAAACAATTATAAAGTTCGCTATCTTTGAAGATTTGCTTACTAATTCTCCTCCTAAACCAGTAATTTCTGCGGAAACTGGCTTAGTGGGCAACTTTAATACAGTTTGTATTCTCTGAGAAACAAAACTTTCATCCGAACAAGGATCTATGAGTGCTCGAACTTTGTAATAAGAACCACAACTAATTATATTGACCCAAGCTGTAGCTAACATCACTTTCTTAGCTACTGATGTGTGATGTGACTGAACAACACCAGACGGACCTGCGATATTAGTGGACTGTAATTGATTTGTATTTGTGGACTGTATTTGGTGGACAGAACTATTTTGACTTTCACCCTGAAATCTAGTATTTCCTTGATTTTGGCTATTATTGTTTTTCTTTACAAATTCCCTATGCATTAAAGTATGGTGCTTCTTTTTGCACTTGGAGCAACCATTTGGGCTACTACAATCACCATACATATGTCCAATGTTAAGGCAATTAAAACAATAACGAAATTTTTTCAAAGTTGAAACCCGATTTCTATAATCCATATTCAAAAATCTGGTACAGGAGCTGATTTTATGGTTTTCTTTGCATAATTTGCAAAAAATGGTTTCAACTTTAGTATTATGGGCCTTAAATTGTTTTACTTTAGTTGATGTATGGTTATTGTTACTATTAAGTGCCGATTGGGAACCACTGGGATGCGTATTATTCGAGGATATAATATCAGAAACGCTTTCTAGAGCATGAAATCTATCTGTTAAAAAATTGTTTAATTCTTCCCATTTGGGAACCTCTGTTTTATTTCTAACCGATTGTTCCCAAAGATTCAGTGAACATTCAGATAAGCGCGAAGAGCATTGAAACACAAATATCGGATCCCATGAACCAATATCAACATTATACAATTTTAAAATTGCCATACAATTGTTGATTTCTCTTTGGAGTCTTTTTATCTCTGATGCTGAATCTTGATTACAGGGAGTCAGATTAAACAATATTTTCAATTGACTATTTATTAATACACGTTTATTTTCATATTGAGTTGTTAGATTTTTCCATGCAATTTCAAAATTTTCTCCTGTTAGAGCTACATTCCTATTTATATCTCTAGCCTCACCATCAGTTTTTCTGAACAAGTAAAATAACTTTTCTACTGGGCTAAGTCTTGTATTGTTTATGTAAATCGCAGTAAACATATCTCTAAATGTGGGCCACGAAACGTAATCCCCATGAAAAACACCAGTATCACAAGGAGGTACGGATATGGAACCACAAAGATTGGGAACTGCTGATTCTACATTTTCTTCAGTTTTTTTACCTAAGTTTGCTTTTGCTTTGGAAATAATGTTTATACATCTTATATATGTCTTGCGGACCTGCGGATGCTTTGTTTGTACCATTAACAATTCTTTCTTTTTTTCTATTGTGACATCAGAACAATCACTATAAATGCTTTTATAATTTTCCCATGATTTATCTAATTCTGATCTTTCAAAATCAAAAGCATCGTCCGTATAACTAGAAAAATCTTCAGCTTTAAGCATAACCTCAAAGCTGATTATTTCATCCGCAGCCACTATGTACTTTTCAAAAATCGACATTTTTTTTTATTTTAAATTTAAATCGTAAAAGAGTCACAAACTTTTCAATAAAAAGCAAGAGTAAGAGAACCACAAAAATATATATTTTTCCAAAAATCTAAAACAAATCACAGAATCGCAAACTTCTTCAATAAATTTAAGAATTAAAAGAGAAACTGAAGTTTTATAACACAAGGCAAAGTTAAAGAGAATCACAAAAACGTTTATCCACTACAAAATGAGAGTTAATGAGAACCACAAATGTTCAATAAAGTGAATCACAACACTTTCCAATAAAGCAAGAGTTACAGAGAATCACAAAGTTAAAATGCGCCAAAATTATTTTCCAATAAGTTAAAAAGATGGACGACAAATTTTTGGATTCAAGAATAAAACAACAAATACAAATGACCGAAAGAAAAATGGCAGCTTGAAATAAAAGTTCACGTTGTTCTTTTTTCTAAAAGTACACAACCTCACTTTTTCCGAGCCACAAATTCTGAACCACACAATTTATGAGACACTTTGCACTTAATAATTTCAATTTACGCACCTTACTATTTTTACGGGAGAAGGACCAATGTTTGGGGCCAAAACTGGAGTTACCTCTTTGGAGCTGAACTGGTTCCTAGATGCTGGCAGGCAAGTTGTCTCCGGCGGTTTTTGTTTGTTGCGGCAGGTCAGGGCCAAACGTATCGCTGCATACACACACACAGACTTCAATAAAAACAACCCTTATTTTTAGTGTTTTGGTTTTTCTTTTATTTATTTTAATTTCAGCTTTAATTTGGTTTTAATATGGTTTTTTTTTTGTTTGTTTGTTCTGAACTATGGTTATTTTTATTTCACTTCTTTTTTTTATTAACTTTTAAAATTTATTTAATTTGTGTGCCTCTTAAGTTTACAGCAGCCAAAAAAGTAATGAATGTGTCAAGCTCTTTTTTTTATTGAGCAACGCAAACTCACCACACTGAAGTGGGGAGTTGCCATACAGTATTTTAATTGGGGGGATTTTACACGAAGGACAGATGTAGTGTATGAGTACTAGATAGACACAAACAATTCGGCTATACTGAATCAATCATATCAAGTATAATTGAAAGTGAATGTCGGAAGGTGGCCTATATGTATATGGTAGATCTGTTCTAACGTATGTTCTAGATCTGTTCTACTTGATGTCTAGTTCTTTTCTAGTTTCTGTTCTAGTTCTGTTCTACCTAGTTCTGTTCTATTTCTGTTCTAGTTCTGTTCTAGTTCTGTTCTATTCTGTTCTTCTAGTTCTTCTAGTGTTCTGTTCTAGTTCTGTTTCTGTTCTGTTCTAAGTTTCTGTCTAGTTCTGTTCTAGTTCTGTTTCTAGTTCTGTTCTTGTTCTGTTAGTTCTGTTCATACTTCTGTTCCTAAGTTCTGTTCTAGTTCTGTTCTAGTTCTGTTCTAGTTCTGTTCTAGTTCTGTTCTAGTTCTGTTCTAGTTCTGTTCTAGTTCTGTTCTAGTTCTGTTCTAGTTCTGTTCTAGTTCTGTTTCTAGTTCTGTTCTAGTTCTGTTCTAGTTCTGTTCTAGTTCTGTTCTAGTTCTGTTCTAGTTCTGTTCTAGTTCTGTTCTAGTTCTGTTCTAGTTCTGTTCTAGTTCTGTTCTGTTCTAGTTCTGTTCTAGTTCTGTTCTAGTTTCTAGTTCTGTTCTAGTTCTGTTCTAGTTCTGTTCTAGTTCTGTTCTAGTTCTGTTCTAGTTCTGTTCTAATTCTGTTCTAGTTCTGTTCTAGTTCTAGTTCTATTCTAGTTCTAGTTCTGTTCTAGTTCTGTTCGTTCTAGTTCTGTTCTGTTCTAGTTCTAGTTCTGGTCTAGTTCTAGTTCTGGTTAGTTCTAGTTCTGTTCTAGTTCTGTTCTAGTTCTGTTCTAGTTCTGTTCTAGTTCTGTTCTAGTTCTGTTCTAGTTCTGTTCTAGTTCTGTTCTAGTTCTTCTAGTTCTGTTCTAGTTCTGTTCTAGTTCTGTTCTAGTTCTGTTCTAGTCTGTTCTAGTTCTGTTCTGTTCTAGTTCTGTTCTAGTTCTGTTCTAGATCTGTTCTAGTTCTGTTCTAGTTCTGTTCTAGATCTGTTCTAGTTCTGTTCTAGTCTGTTCTAGTTCTGTTCTAGTTCTGTTCTAGTTCTGTTCTAGTTCTGTTCTAGTTCTGTTCTAGTTCTGTTCTAGTTCTGTTCTAGTTCTGTTCTAGTTCTAGTTCTTTCTAGTTCTGTTCTAGTTCTGGTCTAGTTCTAGTTCTGGTCTAGTTCTAGTTCTGTTCTAGTTCTGTTCTAGTTCTGTTCTAGTTCTGTTCTAGTTCTGTTCTAGTTCTGTTCTAGTTCTGTTCTAGTTCTGTTCTAGTTCTGTTCTAGTTCTGTTCTAGTTCTGTTCTAGTTCTGTTCTAGTTCTGTTCTAGTTCTGTTCTAGTTCTGTTCTAGTTCTGTTCTAGTTCTGTTCTAGTTCTGTTCTAGTTCTGTTCTAGTTCTGTTCTAGTTCTGTTCTAGTTGTTCTAGTTCTGTTCTAGTTCTGTTCTAGTTCTGTTCTAGTTTAGTTCTGTTCTAGTTCTGTTCTAGTTCTGTTCTAGTTCTGTTCTAGTTCTGTTCTGTTCTAGTTCTGTTCTAGTTCTGTTCTGTTCTAGTTCTGTTCTAGTTCTGTTCTAGTTCTGTTCTAGTTCTGTTCTAGTTCTGTTCTAGTTCTGTTCTAGTTCTGTTCTAGTTCTGTTCTAGTTCTGTTCTAGTTCTGTTCTAGTTCTGTTCTAGTTCTGTTCTAGTTTGTTCTAGTTCTGTTCTAGTTCTGTTCTAGTTCTGTTCTAGTTCTGTTCTGTTCTAGTTCTGTTCTAGTTCTGTTCTAGTTCTGTTCTAGTTCTGTTCTAGTTCTGTTCTAGTTTGTTCTAGTTCTGTTCTGTTCTAGTTCTGTTCTGTTCTAGTTCTAGTTCTGGTCTAGTTCTAGTTCTGGTCTAGTTCTAGTTCTGGTCTAGTTCTAGTTCTGTTCTAGTTCTGTTCTAGTTCTGTTCTAGTTCTGTTCTAGTTCTGTTCTAGTTCTGTTCTAGTTCTGTTCTAGTTCTGTTCTAGTTCTGTTCTAGTTCTGTTCTAGTTCTGTTCTAGTTCTGTTCTAGTTCTGTTCCAGTTCTGTTCTAGTTCTGTTCTAGTTCTGTTCTAGTTCTGTTCTAGTTCTGTTATTCTGTTCTGTTCTGTTCTAGTTCTGTTCTAGTGTTCTAGATCTGTTCTAGTTCTGTTCTAGTTCTGTTCTAGATCTGTTCTAGTTCTGTTCTAGTTCTGTTCTAGTTTGTTCTAGTTCTGTTCTAGTTCTGTTCTAGTTCTGTTCTAGTTCTGTTCTAGTTCTGTTCTAGTTCTGTTCTAGTTCTGTTCTAGTTCTAGTTCTGTTCTAGTTCTGTTCTAGTTCTGGTCTAGTTCTAGTTCTGGTCTAGTTCTAGTTCTGTAGTTCTGTTCTAGTTCTGTTCTAGTTCTGTTCTAGTTCTGTTCTAGTTCTGTTCTAGTTCTGTTCTAGTTCTAGTGTCTAGTTCTGTTCTAGTTCTGTTCTAGTTCTGTTCTAGTTCTGTTCTAGTTCTGTTCTAGTTCTGTTCTAGTTCTGTTCTAGTTCTGTTCTAGTTCTGTTCTAGTTCTGTTCTAGTTCTGTTCTAGTTCTGTTCTAGTTCTGTTCTAGTTCTGTTCTAGTTCTGTTCTAGTTCTGTTCTAGTTCTGTTCTAGTTCTGTTCTAGTTCTGTTTGTTCTAGTTCTGTTCTAGTTCTGTTCTAGTTCTGTTTAGTTCTGTTCTGTTCTAGTTCTGTTCTAGTTCTGTTCTAGTTCTGTTCTAGTTCTGTTCTAGTTCTGTTCTGTTCTGTTCTAGTTCTGTTCTAATTCTGTTCTAGTTCTGTTCTAGTTCTGTTCTAGTTCTGTTCTAGTTCTGGTCTAGTTCTAGTTCTAGTTCTGTTCTAGTTCTGTTCTAGTTCTGTTCTAGTTCTGTTCTAGTTCTGTTCTAGTTCTGTTCTAGTTCTGTTCTAGTTCTGTTCTATTGTCTGTGCTAGTTCTGTTCTAGTTCTGTTCTAGTTCTGTTTCTAGTTCTGTTCTAGTTCTGTTCTAGTTTCTGTTCTAGTTCTGTTCTAGTTCTGTTCTAGTTCTGTTCTAGTTCTTTCTGTCTAGTTCTGTTCTAGTTCTGTTCTATGATCGTGGAGTTCTGTTCTAGTTCTGTTCTAGTTCTGTTCTAGTTCTGTTCTAGTTCTGTTAGTCTAGTTCTGTTCTAGTTCTGTTTCTAGTTCTGTTCTAGTTCTGTTTCTAGTTCTGTTCTAGTTCTGTTCTAGTTCTGTTCTAGTTCTGTTCTAGTTCTGTTCTAGTTCTGTTTCTAGTTCTGTTCTAGTTCTGTTCTAGTTCTGTTCTAGTTCTGTTCTAGTTCTGTTTCTAGTCTGTCTAGTTCTGTTCTAGTTCTGTTCTAGTTCTGTTCTAGTTCTGTTCTAGGTGCTTGTTCTAGTTCTGTGCTAGTCTGTTCTAGTTCTGGTTCTAAGTTCTGTTCTAGTTCTGTTCTAGTTTCCTGTTCTAGTTCTGTTCTAGTTCTGTTCTAGTTCTGTTCTAGTTCTGTTCTAGTTCTGTTCTAGTTCTGTTCTAGTTCTGTTCTAGTTCTGTTCTAGTTCTGTTCTAGTTCTGTTCTAGTTCTGTTCTAGTTCTGTTCTAGTTCTGTTCTAGTTCTGTTCTAGTTCTGTTCTAGTTCTGTTCTAGTTCTGTTCTAGTTCTGTTCTAGTTCTGTTCTAGTTCTGTTCTAGTTCTGTTCTAGTTCTGTTCTGTTCGTTCTGTTCTAGTTCTGTTCTAGTTCTGTTCTAGTTCTGTTCTAGTTCTGTTCTAGTTCTGTTCTAGTTCTGTTCTAGTTCTGTTCTGTTCTAGTTCTGTTCTGTTCTAGTTCTGGTCTAGTTCTAGTTCTGGTCTAGTTCTAGTTCTGTTTCTAGTTCTGTTCTAGTTCTGTTCTAGTTCTGTTCTAGTTCTGTTCTAGTTCTGTTCTAGTTCTGTTCTAGTTCTGTTCTAGTTCTGTTCTAGTTCTGTTCTGTTCTAGTTCTGTTCTAGTTCTGTTCTAGTTCTGTTCTAGTTCTGTTCTAGTTCTGTTTCTAGTTCTGTTCTAGTTCTGTTCTAGTTCTGTTCTAGTTCTGTTCTAGTTCTGTTCTAGTTCTGTTCTAGTTCTGTTCTAGTTCTGTTCTAGTTCGTTCTAGTTCTGTTCTAGTTCTGTTCTAGTTCTGTTCTAGTTCTGTTCTAGTTCTGTTCTAGTTCTGTTCTAGTTCTGTTCTGTTCTGTTCTAGTTCTGTTCTAGTTCTGTTCTAGTTCTGTTCTAGTTCTGTTCTAGTTCTGTTCTAGTTCTGTTCTAGTTCTGTTCTATGGTTCTGGTTCTAGTTCTGTTCTAGTTCTGTTCTAGTTCTGTTCTAGTTCTGTTCTAGTTCTGTTCTAGTTCTGTTCTAGTTCTGTTCTAGTTCTGTTCTAGTTCTGTTCTAGTTCTGTTCTAGTTCTGTTTCTAGTTCTGTTCTGTTCTAGTTCTGTTCTAGTTCTGTTCTAGTTTCTGTTCTAGTTCTGTTCTAGTTCTGTTCTAGTCTGTTCTAGTTCTGTTCTAGTTCTGTTCTAGTTCTGTTCTAGTTCTGTTCTAGTTCTGTCTAGTTCTGTTCTAGTTCTGTTCTAGTTCTGTTCTAGTTCTGTTCTAGTTCTGTTCTAGTTCTGTTCTAGTTCTGTTCTAGTTCTGTTCTAGTTCTGTTCTAGTTCTGTTCTAGTTCTGTTCTAGTTCTGTTCTAGTTCTGTTCTAGTTCTGTTCTAGTTCTGTTCTAGTTCTGTTCTAGTTCTGTTCTAGTTCTGTTCTAGTTCTGTTCTAGTTCTGTTCTAGTTCTGTTCTAGTTCTG